TTCATAATGATATTTCCCCCCATTTTAAATTCTTATTATCCAATGTAAGGTTAGATTTTTGGGAATTTGTTTAATAAAAGATCAAAAGGATTAACAATGCAGATTAATTTTCACAGCCTTCTTTGATCATATTTACCAATGCCGATATTTTTGGCCATGACTGTGTATATATATATATATTTATTATACACACACATATACATACACATACACACACACAAAACAAGTAGATAGAATACAAAAAATAGAAGGATAGTGTTTTTTTGTTTGTTTTTTTAAATAAAAAAAGAAGATAAATAGATCAAGTAAAATTAAAATAGAATAGAAAGTGCTAGAGTTAGAGGGTCAAAAAGATGGAACAGACAAATGGGAATAGACAGCAGTTTGATAGAGCTTTACATAACCTTACGAAACCTCTCTTGATTTTGTACGTTTTTACATAATTATTAAATGGAGTAACGATGTCCTGAAGAAATGTTCTGAGAAACCTTTCTAATGTGAAATATAAAAAATTGAAATAAAAATCAGCAAAGATGTATTTATAGACAAACAACCTGTAAAAAAACATCAGATTACATTGACTGCATCAGCAACTAATTAACAGGTATCATTTTACTAAATGCAGATTCTCACCTGAATGACACTGCCGTATTTTACCACATCCCCATGGACCTTTTTGTTCTCGGCCTCATTCTGTTTTTGTTCCAAATTAGCTGCATGCTTTGGTATGAAAAAATAAATAAATAAATAACCAAACAAACAAATGAGCAACAAAGAACTGCAAGCAGCTCAAATGTCAATCATCATATGAAATGTGTCCCAGCAAACATATTAAAAACCTCAGATTCCTCTTTGCTCACAGCTGTCATTAAAAACCAAAGGTGGATTCTGTTGATGATCTAAATTCAATAGAATTGTTTGTGACTTACTTGCAATTTCTGAAGAAGCACCATGTCTCCAATCTTATCCTTCTCATGTTTTGCCTGTTTAGCCTTCCAGAACTGTTTTTGGGCAGAATATCGGTTCATGGGATAAACCTTAAAGAGGCAGTCTAGATTTCAAAAAAAAATTGTATCAGCTGTTTGTGTGTCTGTTTTTGGAAAATGTGATTAAATTTATAAATTAATTTAAAAAAACATTGTAGACACTGTTCTTGTGAGACCACATTTTGGGAAATACTGAATTTTGAGAAAGAATAAAATTAATATTTAAAATTTGCTTTGGACTTTCACAGGAAAAAAATATTTTTGCATTTGCTCACATTTGATCTCAACTAAACTTTTGTATCATCTGCAGATCAGACCTGACCTTAATGGTTTTTGGGGGGGGGGGGGGGGGGGGGGTGGGGGTTGGGTT